CGATTTGCGATATCTTGGAGCACGAGAAGAACTGGGAGATCCTGTCGTATGTGCTGTGTCATCTGCCTGTGCAGCTAGCGAACAAGCACCTGTTTTGTGGACCAAAGTGTCGGGGAGTGGTTTCGAGGATGTTGAATATTTTGTGTAATGGGATTATGGAGGGAGGGTTTGCGATGCAGGTTGATCGGTGGCCTGTTGGGTTGAAGGTTCGGGATGCGCATGGGCTGGCGTATCATGTCCTTGCTGTGCTTATCAGTTATCGGCGGTGTTTTGATCTTCGGCAGAAGCATACGCTCGTGGAGGTCTTCCTTGGGGGACTTGACGGGCAGCCGATGACGGTCAAGACGTGTTTGCACTCGTTGTCGATTACGGCGTTTGAACTGCAGTCTTCGACGACAAAGTACATGTCGAGTATCCTCGAGAAGCTCTCCCAGATCATGTCCAATCCGGATATGGCTGTTCATATCTTGGGGTTCTTGTCGATTATCGGTTCTCATTCTGCGCTGTATTCGAATTTCACGGAAGGGGATTTCAAGATGGTGTTTGGGGTAGCGTTGCAGTATTTGCAGCATTACAACGAGCAGAGCCAGAGTCCTACGGTGTCGTGGGCGCTTTCCCAGCATGTGCGGATACTTTCGTATTATCTTGTGTATGTCTGGTTCTTGGCTGTGAAACTTCCGGATCGACCGCAGCATGTCCCGTATATCACTCGACAGCTTTTGTTGGCGAATGAGGGGAGGAAGGATGTGAATAATGCGACAGAGGTGTGCTTTGACTGGTTGGCGCGGTACACGTATGCGAGTGCTGATCCTCGTCCTGCGAATTCCCTACTGAGCGAGATGATCATGAACCCGACACCGTGCAAGAGTGGTGAGCCGGCGACGACGTGTGAGAAGACGTGGATTGTGGGCAATGCGGTTGTTACGGTCAAGACGCTGATGAGGTTGGGCTGGATTGAAGTGGTGTCGAGGAGGCCATCTGGGATTACAAAGTTTTTGTGCCGCTTGGAGAATTCGCCGTTGGTGAGGCCTGGGGATGTTGAGCCTGATGTGTGGTCGGTGCCGGCTGTGGTGTTGGCAGAGCGGAATCCTCCGAGAGTGGGAGTTGAGGGTGGCGAGGTGGGTGACAACTGGCGGATGTTTCTTTTTGCTGATTACGATGATTTAGTATGAGGATGTTCGTGAGTTGGTGTCGGTGGAAGAGGAGGAAGAAGACGACGATTCGACGCCTCGACCGGATCCTGTTACTGGATACGTGTGGAGTCGGACAGCACCGTCGCAGAGGCGAAAAGAGGTGGTTATTGACCCAGCGTACTTTGCGCTGCAGTTTTCTGGATACCCAAAAGTTCGGTCGTCGTCGCGACTAGTCTCGGACCAAGCTGGACTTCGGCGGTTTCTATCTGCCTTTGACAGGATGCCGGTGATTGATACGCACAAGGTCGGGATTTTGTATGTTGCGCCGGGACAGGTGAACGAGGTGGAGATTCTGAAAAACACGCATGGGTCGCCGGCGTATACGCGGTTCTTGGAGGGGATCGGGCGGTTGATTGAGTTGCGGGGCCAGATTGATGTGTACGCGGGCGGGTTGAACGCGGATGATGATGGCGAGTACGCGTATGCGTGGTGGGACGATATTGGTCAGATCCTATATCACACTGCGACGATGATGCCGACACGCTCGACGGATCCCGTCTGCACCAACAAAAAGGCGCACATTGGCAACGACTTTGTGCGTATCGTGTGGAACGACGGGGGTCGACCTTACCGATTCGATACTCTGTCGACAGAGTTTCAGTTTGTGAACATTGTGGTGGAGCCACATTCATTGGGTGCCATTGCGGCGTTTTCAAACAATTTACACGAGAATGAGTACTTTAAGGTGACGGTGCAGCGAGCGGAGGGGATGATGGAGTTTGCACCCGTGGGAGAGTACCGGCTCGTGTCTGCCGAGAATCTACCCTTGTTGGTCCGGCAGTTGAGTCTGCTGGCTGACTGGTACGCGTCTGTGTTTTCTCGGACTGGGATGGATACGGAGAGAGTGGAGATGAAGACAAACTGGCAGGAACGGTTGGAAGCTATTGGCAGATTCAAGGACAAGGCTGTATTAGCTGACCAGGATGACCTTGTATTTTAATAACTTGAAACTAATAATCTGTATTACTTATTTGTGTCTATTTATTGCCACTATGCTTCGCTCAGCCATGAGACAGCCCTCCGCGTCCGCGTCCCCTGCCTTGTCAGTGTCCCCTCTCCCGTCCTCGCCGCCCTCTCCGTCACCCTACACGCCGAAAGTGTCCTTTGACACGTTCGAGAATCCCGTGGCTTCAATGTTCTCGTTCACCCTCTCGGCTAAATCATCTGCCTATCGACGGACCAAGAGCACCCGCGTCTTCCTGTGTGCGGCCTCGCCTGACGAGACGGGCAACGAGGCGCTAGACTGGGCGCTCGAGTCGCTCGTGCAGGACGGGGACGAGTTTGTCGTGTGTCGGGGAGTGGACGAGGACGAGCTGGGTGCGAAGGACCATGATGTGCTGAGGCACGAGGCGAGGAGCCTGATGCGCCGCATTCAGGAAAAGGCGAGCGAGGTGGATCCTGAGAGGAAGTTGTCGTTGATTTTGGAGTATGTCCCTGGGAGGATTACGGATACGCTCGATAGGCTTATTGCGCTGTATCGCCCGGATTCGGTCGTTGTTGGGACTAGAGGCAGGAAGTGAGTGTTTTATGTGGCTTTGTGGTGAACTTTGGCTGATTGGGGGGTTGGTAGGGCGTGGCAGAATATAGGCAAGGGTCCTATGGGGTCTGTGTCGAGATATGTGCTTATACATTCGCCGGTTCCTATTATTGTCGTCAGACCGGAGCGCAAGGTGAAGAAGGCGGTACAGAAGAGAAAGGCTGATCCGAAGCGCGGTATACATTTTGATTAAACGTATTGTATTGTCTTTATATTTGCGAACTGTTATTATATCAAGCAGGTCGATTTACTTGCACCGCTCTAATACACTTCCATCTCAAATCAAAATGTACCGAGTGTCTGGGCAGTTACAATCACTCCCTTTCTCGAATCGCCTTTGTCGTTTTGTTTCTCCAGTTCTGCTTTCAACCGCCAAGTCAAATGTCTATCTGATTCCTGGATTTCAGGCGCTCGATCCTTGAGTGGTTGGCGGCCTTGAGTTGCTTCTTCACGCTGAGGTTCATCTTGCTAGTGTGACCCATTCTCTGGATGTTCTTCGAGTATGTTATTCGTCTCTTGGAGCGCAATGTTCTTTGTTAACTGTCTCCTGTCCATATGCTGGGATGTCGTTTTATCACCAAACTCGGACGCCTCTTGATCCGTTACAGTCACCATCACGAATATTCCCACGGTACTCTACCACCGCTCAAAGGGATTTCGAAGGGCTAGCGAGGATAGAATAGCGTATATAACTTCTGTAAACTCTCACAAAACTCAACATCAATCAAAATATCAATGTCCGGTGGCTCGGACCCACCTGACAACATAGGTGACGCGTCTTACGACACGACAACCTCGTCAAAAATGGCAGAAATAAAGCAAGGACACCTGATGAAACTCGAATCAGCAGCCGAAAGCGTAGGAAAAGACTACGGCAAATACGTGGAAATAGAAGGCACAACAGTGAGTGCCATATACGATGTCATGGCCGTTCTACGACACATGGCCAAAACGGAACTAAAAGCGACGAAATCGGTTACCGCGAAACAGATTCGCGTGATTCTTAACATGGTTGAAATGTTGGAAGCTTGGTTGGACCTAGATGAATACAGAGCTTGCCAGGATGCGCTAACGATTGCGGGACTGATGAAGGAGAACTTCAAAACCCTGCAGGAAAATACTAACAACATTAAATCCACTGTTGATACACAGAAGGCATACAGCATAACCATCGAGGAACAGCTCCAAGAGCTCAAAAAGAATGTATCGGACATCCAGGCAGCAGCAGCTGACATCCAAACTGAAGCAACATGACCACGACCACCACTCCTGCCCAACTCCCAGCCCCACACGGCATCATACGCTGATGTAGTCACCAGACCAAGCCCATTCGCAGACCCACGTCACGCAGACGTTGTTGCAAAAGCCAAAATTGCAGATCGACGCGTCATTGTGAAGCCGCTGACAGAAACCGCAAAGTCTGCAATGACCAAGTCCAGCGAGAAAGACCTGGTCACCGACATCAATAAAGCTCTCTCCCTGGCAATGACTACAGTTGATGGAGACTTGATCATTGCCCCAGAGGAACACAGAGTCGTTGGATCACGAAAACTTGCAAGCGGAGGAGTGATGTACGTCTTCAACTCCGACGATGCAGCGGCATGGCTACGCAAGCCTGGGGTACCAAGCCTGATAAATCAGGCAGCTGGGGAAGACACCGACGTAAGTCTACAGCTGAACAATGTCGTAGTTCCATTTGCTCCGACCACAATTGACGTGAAGAATACTGAAACATGGCAAGGTATAGAAAACAGCAGTGGACTAAACAGCGGGACCATCCGCAGTGTGAAATTCCTCAAATCTGCGGAGTTTCACCACGAAGGACAGCGAGAAGCTCACTTGATTATAGGTTTTGACTCTAGAAGTCAAGCGAACAAAGTGATACAGCATGGCATCATCATAGAAGGGAAGGAGCTCCAAGCCAACAAGGAGCTACCAGACGCATCCCGATGCATCAATTGCTCTGACCTACCCCGGAACCACGACACGAAGAACTGCCCTAATACCACGAAATGCGGGCGATGTGCAGGTGGCCATGCAACCAAGGAATGCACAGTCACAGACCGGAAGAAATTCCACTGTGTAAACTGCAAAACATCAGGCCACGGGGCTGTGGATCGGAATTCATGCCCCTCATTCATTAGGGCCACTGATACCATCCGCAGTCGATACCCTGAAGCGAAGTATAAGTACTTCGTTACTGAGGACCCCATGACATGGGTGTCCAGTGATGTTCAAAAACGAGCAGAGTCTGAGCGCCCACAAAAGCTGCTGAACAAAGGGATAAGGCGAGCAGCGAGCTCTCAAAACGATGCCACAATCACAAGCCAGATCGACAAGTGCAGCATCATCTACGAGGAGATCATACCAAGAGGAAGACGGGGAGATTCCTCAAGGAGGGACCACAGAAACGAACAAGGAACAACGAGCTCACACACCGCCTGTAGACCTATGCTGAGCCCCGAAAATACTAATACTGCAGACCACAAACCACTGAAGCTATACCAACTCAACGTCAACAAATCCCTCACAGCACACTCATGTCTCATACACCAAATCCATCAAGACGACGACATGATACTGGTGCAGGAGCCGTACATCAGCAAACAGGGAAAGTCCAGAGCTACACAAGGCTGGATAACTGTGTATCCAACAGGACATAATCAGGATCCCTCACAGACGAGGGCGGTAACCCTTGTTAATCGAGCCATCTCTACTAACTCTTGGTCTAGCATACCATTGATTACCCAAGATGCTGTTGCCATCAATTTGCGAGCACCAGCGGAATCCATAATCATCGTCAATGTCTATAGCGACGGTGGTTCCACAGCAATCTGGGAAACTATTAACAAACTTTTCAGAGAATATACTGCCAAACGGCGTGATGAACGAGGCCTCCCATACCGCTTCATCTGTGCGGGGGACTTCAACGTGCACCACCCGTTATGGGATGAACCGCGCAACTCTCACCTTTTCACAGATCAAGTTCTGGAACGCGCAGAGCACCTACTGCAAATAGTAGGTCACCACCGCCTCAAGATGCCACTACCAGCACTCATACCAACATTACGAGCCTTCTCCACCGGAAACTACACACGAGTTGACAACGTATTCTGCTCTGATGAGCTCCTGCCAGCATTTACCAAATGCATTGTCGACCATGCAGCACAACCACCACGTACAGATCACTTCCCTATCCTCTCCACCATCGATATCTCCCCCCCACAGAACAGCTTTGAGCCACGACGGAACTTCCGCAAAGTAGATTGGAAGAAATTCTACACAAAACTGGGGGAGAAGCTAGATGCCCTACCACCCCCTCGAGAAATCGAAACAACAGCACAGATGTACAAGGCGCTAAACGATATAGACCAGGTAGTACAGGACGTCATAGAACTATACGTGCCGTGGACAAAACCCAGTCCATATACAAAGCGCTGGTGGACGGACGAGCTAACAATCCTTCGCAAACAACTACGGAAGATTCAGAGGAAGGCACACCAATACAGAATGTTCACAGACCACCCGATACACAAGGAGAAACGACAAGCACGGAATGCATATGCAGAGATGATGGATAGGTCCAAAACGAGGTGTTGGACAGAATGGCTGGAAAATGCGAGCGGAAGCAGCATATGAGAGATATGCAGCTTCATATCACAACCATCAACAGATGGCGGGAGATCACAGGTACCAGACCTCGTTGTCAAAGAAGGAGGAGGAACAACACGACGAATCCAGGATAACTCGGAAAAGAGTGACATCTTCCGAGCGGCATTTTTCCCGCCCAAACCAGCTAACTCAAGCGTCCCCACTAATACCGAATATCCACCACCAGCATGGAAGTTCCAGCTCATAACAGATGAGCAGGTCGAAAGAGCTTTCAGACGTATGAAACCACTGAAGGCCACTAAGCCGGGCACTGTGCCCAATTGTGTACTGTTATGCTGCGCCGACTTACTTGCCCCTCATATAGGTCCGATATACAGAGCAACATTCACCACAGGTGTATACCCTCATGACCTAAGTGCGACGAACACCATTATCCTTCGCAAGCCCGGAAAACCAAACTACGAGGACCCAAATGCGCACAGGCCGATCATACTATCAAACGGTTGGGGACGTGGCCTCCACGCCACTCTCAATCAGGACCTGGTAACGTGGTGCGAGTATCTGGGTATACTACTAGACAGACACTTTGGCGGCCGTCCGGATCGATGTACAACAGACTCAGTGCATCTAATGGTATCTTCAATCAAAGATGCATGGCGTAAAGGTAATGTAGTCACCATTCTATTTCTTGATGTGAAAGGAGCCTTTCCGAGCATTGATGTGGACATGCTCATACACGAAATGCTAATGCTGGGTATACCCAAGCAGTATACCGAATGGTTACATCGACGGCTGAGTGGGCGTAAAACAATACTCACGTTTGACGACTTCAAATCAATCATCTTCGAAGTTACTAATGGGCTCGACCAAGGTGATCCGTTATCACAGATTTTGTATATCATATACAACTCTAGCGTGCTGCGATGCCTGCAGAAGACCGAAGAAAGCTTCCTCTTCATTGATGACAAGGCGATCCTAGTGTGGGGAAAGACTTTTGCAGCAACCCACCAGAAAATCAAAGATATCATGGAGCGCCAGGGAGGGATCCTGGAATGGGCGAAAAACCATAACTGCGAATATGGTATGGAGAAGTTCCAACTCGTAGACTTCACACCGAAAACAAGAGACCCCCTACCCAAGCCCAACATGACCTCCAAGCAACGCGAACCAGCGATGGGTGAACCAGTACAAATCGGCCAATACACCATACACCCACGGCCAGTCGCAAAATTCCTGGGAGTCTATATCGATGCAGGATTACAGTGGAAGGAACAAGGCGCAGCAGCCATCAAAAAGGGAGATGATTGGGTTATTCAATTCCGACGCCTAGCTCGTGTCAGCTCAGGAGTATCAAGAGAGAATATGAGACTCACTTACATTTCTATTGCTATCCCCAGGATTCTATATGCAGCTGACGTATTTTTAAACCCCCAGAGACGCACAAGAAAGAAGAGGAAGGATGGCAAGAGCAGCATTCGAGTCGTAAACTGCCTATCATCAATACAGAGGCAGGCAGCAATACTCATAACTGGAGCAATGAGAACGACAGCAGCGGACATACTGGATCTACATGCCAACCTGCTGCCTATGCAGAGACAAGTAGAGGTCTACTGACACCGAGCACTGACACGTATGGCATGCCTACCGCCAGGACATCCGCTGCACAAAGTCATCAGACGGGTTTCACGACGCTACGTCAAACGACACCGGTCGCCACTTCATGAACTAGCACGGGACTTCAACATGCCACCAGACGATGTAGAGACGATCAAGGCGGCACGGTTTCCACCACATTGGCAGATGAAGGTCCAGGTTGAGGTGCCAGAATCGATGCAGGAAGCAATGATGATGGAAAGGACAGATAGAAGTGAAGTGCAAGCGTATGGGGACGGATCGGGCATCGAAAATGGGATAGGAGCAGCAGCAGTGGTATACCGGAGAGGGAGGAAGGTAAAGACAGTGAGGATGAAGGTGGGCGAAGCAAGTGAACATGAGGTATATGATGGCGAAGGCATCTCCCTCATACTCTGCACGGAAGCGATACGTGGCATGACGAACGTGCAAAGTGCATCAATCAGCATTGATAACACATCTGCGATCCAAGCGACGACACTGATCCGACCAGCCCCATCTCATCATATCTTCGACACTCTCCATCAACGCATGGATATGCTACTACGGCGACATTCGGGCATCGAAATCAAGATTCGTTGGGTCCCTGGGCACCAAGGCATTGCAGGAAATGAAATGGCAGATGAAGAAGCGAAGGCGGCAGCACGAGGCAATGTCAGTGAGCAGCGGTATATACCAGCGCCACTGCGAAAACCAGTACCAATCAATAAAACGTCGCTACTCCGGGAGTTCTACGCAAAGCAGAAACGAAAAGCTGATATAACCTGGAGAAAATCACCCCGCTTCTCCAGGTTCCGAACCATAGACTCAGCATCTGCGCAGCGAGCTGCACGCAGGTATAGGAAACTGGCCACTTCCTTACCACGCAAAATCACCAGTATCATGATGCAGCTCCGTACCGGACACATCGGGCTCAACCGCCACCTCTTCAACATCCGTCGAATCGATTCACCTGCATGCCCCAATTGTTCACACCCTAACGAGTCCACACACCATTTCCTCATCCGTTGCCCAGCATTCCGTAACGAACGCGAAGTAATGCAGAATGCCATGGGCATCCGTGGAAGAGCTATGACTGTCAGACATATTTTAGCAGACCGGAAGAACGTACCGCACCTCATCACATATCTCAACGACACAGGGAGATTCAAGGATACATTCGGAAGATTCCCAGAAGTGGAAATTGACATTGAAGAGAATTCATAGAAAGGAGAGAAAAGAGGACGACCAAGTCAGAAGAGAAGCTGTCGGTCCATCGTCTTATTATGTCACTAACTTGGTGACGAAGACGGTCGCGAGAAGCCTCGCAATAAGCACAGTGATGCTCGCCAGTTACGGATTAACAAAGCGTTGAACACAGAAAAACCACCATTGGACAGTAGTATAATCCGAACATACGCTAGCGTGTAGGATATTAGTACATAGTACGAAACGGAATTAAAAAAAAAAAAAAAAATCACCAAACTCATCCCACTTCTTACGTTGTTCAATCCCTTCTTGCTGAAAAATGTTCTGAACACCTCATGCTCTAGATTCATTCTAAACGCGGGGGCGTCGTTATTCTTCACCCGTTTCTGATATTTAGCTAGGAGCTTATCTGTGGCCGAGTCTCCAAAATTGCCTGCTACCTTTGTCTCGGTCTCAAACCGAAAGGATGGTGTTTTATTTCTCTCGGATAATGTGAGAGACGGATTTATGGTGGTTTACTACATACGGTGGAACTTGACCCAGAGTAGCCTCGAAATTATCTTACTCGTTTCGCTTGTAGTGGCATCGATCCAAGCTGTTAGTCGCTACTTGATCGATACTTGATATCTCATCGCCATTTTTCATTGTTTTGGTAAAAGAATCGTTGATACTGATTCTTTCTTGTCAGGTTGCTCATGAGGGTCAGGCATCTTGTCGCCCCGTGAACAGAGAGCGTGTACCATAGTCTTGAACGACGCATCGCTTGGCTGTGGTGTTGCTCTCTCTACAGAGACGGTCTTGTTCGGCACTCTTCTCGGGCTTCATTCCATCCAGAGGTCAGATATCCATAGCAGGGGGCTCGTAAGAGGGTCTACGAAGCCCTCTGAACTCTGAGTCAGCCACGTTGATGCGATGCAGGGGACCTCATTACGACTGGCTGATGAAAGCGACTATTCACACAGCTCGCATAGCTCTTGGTCGGTAGCCGTCCGGTCGTATCCCAGCCCCTCGACAGCCAATTCATACGTTGAAAACATAATGGATGTAGATACCTGGATGCCTGAGACGCTAGATATACACGTTTTCGAAGTCACCTCCCTTGTGCTTTTACGTTTTTTTTACTGACCTCGAGCTGTTGATAAGCAAGTTATCGTCAAGTTGTCGCAGTAACCAATTTCCTGCTAGTTTTTCATCCCGCTGATTCCCCATTACCGTCGCCTGGCCATAGCGCAAGGGTCAAAAAGGCCATCCAGAAGATGGGAAATATGAGACAGGTAAGCAGTAGAGATTTCATAATAATCATGGCAGTAGTCTAAGGATAAGTATGCACTACCATTTATTTGGCTTTCGGGGAAGTATAGAGAGATAAACTCAGTGAAGATTCGAAAGCAAAGACGAGCAACCAAATCGAACGTGACGGATGGGGAATGCAA